CCCCCCAACCCTGCCTGCCCCCGGGGCAGAAATCACAGAAAGATTCCCACTGAGGCCTTTTCTATCAGGATTTACTGCTAGCCCGGGGTCACAGGGTCCCCTGTCTCTGGCACAGAGGCCAGCCAGTGGGGTCAGGGCTGCTCCAGACATATTGACACCTGCCTGTTTTTCTGTGGATCCAGCACAGGGATGGCCTTCTGGTTCCATGACCAAAGCTCAAGGCTAACTCTGATGGGTTCAGCTGGAGAGGAAAGATAGCCCAGCATCCCAAAGCCAGGACCTCCAGGGAGGAAAGGCCCTGGCCACTCCCGATACAAGACTTAACCTCCGCATTGGGAGAGCGCGAACCCCCATTTCTTACCCCAACCTGGGGTGGAGCATGTAATCTTCAGTTTCCTGGCTGTCCCTCCTGTGTAACAGTTGCCCTGCACTGAAACTGTCTAACCCCCTTCCAGGGCCGGCCCATGTAGTTATGATGAACTGAAATCAGCCTCAAGGAGAGCACTTGGAAAGGACATCAGGTTCCAGGCCCTTCTCGATACTGTTACTTGTGTTTGAATCCTGTTCTCACCTGTAAGGATTCAGGCAGTGGGAAGAACACTTCTGTTGGGAGGTGGAAACCTGGCTCTCAGCCCAGAATCTCCCACAACCCTTGCAATGTTGCCAGTGCCCTAACTTCCCTTTGCCTTAGTTTCCTCATCGCTCAGCAAGGGCAAGTTGCCTGTCCCTAATCACTCCATCCAAGTGTTGTAATACAAATGGGGTCAAGGTTGGCAAGCACCCTCTGAATTCTAGGCAGCAGCACCATGACCTTCATCTCGCAGTGCTCACATCCCTCCACTCCACCCCCAATCCCAAAGGCCCAGCAGCCAGTTAGAGAGCTTCAATCAGGGCCCAGAGGAACAGGAGGGACCCTGTATTCCAGACCGTTTGGCTGGTGCTCTCAGTAAAGGTGACTGATAGAACCAAGAGGGAAAAGTAAACCTTTCCAGCAGCCAGAGGGGCCTCCATCTTGCCTGCTCTCCCAGATTACCTAGCCCCACTGCCCCTTCCCCAGAAAGCTCAGAATCACTGATTTCTGGAAACTGCTTAGGCTCGAAAGATTTTTAGAACACCAAGAGTCCCTTCCCTGTTCCACTTGCCAGAGGCATCGCTATTTAGCAACTCCTGTTTTCAGGTCATCCTTGTGAGTTCTGCAGAGAAGGGCTAACTCCACATCATTTGGAAAACAGATGCCCATCCTTACACATGTTACTTGAGTGGCCTCACAAATGCGTATGAAAAAGCAGGTGGTCATCTGCAGAGTTAACCTCCCTGGACTTGCCAGGCAGCCTCAGCACAGATCACGGTGCCAGCCAGTCTTGTGACAAGTGTGGGTTGGCAGGGGCGGCTGGAGGGGGTAGATGGGCGGCCTGCCCTGCAGAGGGATGGGGACAGAGGACAAGGGCAACAAGGAGGCAGGCGCGTGGGGGGCAGGCAGGGATGGGGTCAGGGGGCGGGCCGCAGGATGAGCTGGGTAATTTCTGCCCTGCTGCCCAGACGCATGGGTATCCCATAATAGGCCGTGCCTGGGCTCACATATACAAATGTAGACTCGGCCACCTGGTAGAGACCAGCAAAGAAGGGGTTCAGGAGGTAGGCTGCCACGTTCAAGGGGAAAATCTGCCCAGCATGCGTGTGCCCAGAAAGGATCAGGTTAATATCTGGCCGGGCCTGGAGGGCTCTCTTGGCAGCCAGGGGCTGGTGAGCTAGCAGGATGGTGGGGTGGTCTGCGCTGCAGCCCTCCAGGGCCTTCTCCAGGTCCATGCCATGGCCAGTGTAGTGCAGGATGTTCGCTTCGATGTCATCCACCCCAGCCAGGCAGATCCAGTCGTCATCCTCACTGTGGGCCCCGGTGGCAGAAATCCTCACGTTCTCATTGTGGAGGGGCTGGACGTTCAGGGACATCAGCAGTGCAAACCAGTTGCTGACATCTGACGTGTAATACTCGTGATTGCCCGTGACGAAGTAGGTGCCCAGGCGTGAACGCAGCTGGCCCAGAGGAGCCACAGCCGTGCGCAGGACAGAGGCTTCGGAATCGCACAGGTCGCCCACAATCACCGTGACGTCTGGCTCCAGCGTGTTCACCATCCTCACAAACATGTCCATCTTTGTCCTGCCCACCGTGGGGCCCAGGTGGATGTCCGAGAGGAGCACGATCTTGAGGGCGTTCATGGAGGGGTGCAGCCGATGCATGGGCACCTCCACAGTGGTCACCGCTGGGGGCTGGGCAGCGTTCAGCAGCCCCACCACGCTGAGCACCATGGTCACCACCACCACCAGTGCCGGCCGGAGGGCCAGCTTCCTGGTCTTGTCAAGGCTGCCCACCGCCCTGCCGGCGCGCCAGGCCAGGAGCTGGGAGGCCTGCTCCATGCCGCTGAGGACACAGAGGAAACAGAGCATGATGACATACGCCCCAAGGCAGGCGTAGGCAACCAGGGAAAAGAGATAGGGCTCCTCGGCCACTAGAAAGATCATGGTGAAGAAGCTGGAATGCGCCAGGGCCAGGAAGGCCGCAATGATCATCTTCCAGAGCTGAAAGCAGGCTGACTCTGCAGCCGGGGAATGCCTGAGATTGCTGACAGTGCTACGCCAGATGTAGATGGAGCCGAGGAGCATGAGCGAGTTGGCAAACAGGGCTAGCTGCAGGCGGAACAGGCATCGCCAGGCCCTGAACTCCAGGCTCTCCGCCAGGTAGGACCGGGAGACAACCATGGACACGAAGACAGTGCCGGCAGCCAGGGCGGCCTTTGTGCCCAGGGACAGCTGCCTGAAGATCGCCATTGCCTCTGCTCCTAAGCGGACACCCCGCCAGCTCTGTGTGGGCGAGCTCTGGAAGGTGAGTTCCTTAGATAGGACAGTGGCCAAGGACAGGTTTCCAGGTCAGCTCCGCCTGCAACCAGGAACCGGCGTCAGCTTTGTGGTATGAGAGCTTTCTTGTCCCCTGTCAAAACCCGAAGGCCACTTATATCTGCCCAACCAGCCTTGGATCCAAGCCACTCAAGTACCAGTCAGTTGCTAGACTTCATTAGTGAACTACAAACACACCCGATTGTAACAGGATGGGCAGTTTCACTCTCTTACAGTTTTCTGCATGTTTCAAGTATTTCCACAACATGTATATGAACTTTCATAGTAAGAAAAACATTATTCTAAATCAGCGGTTCTCAAAATGTGGTCCAGGGGGACCCTTTGGCTGTTGGCGTTGGGGGGAAAGGGGCGGGGGGTGTCCACTGACTGTTTTCAAAAACAGCACTAAGCCATAACCATTCTCTCATCGGTGTACAGTGAAGTTTCCAGAGGTTACATGGCATGTGATATGGCAAAACTGAATGCAGAAGTAGCTACGCGCATTCAACAGTCATCTACTAAGACAGACATGAATGGATCCATGTATGTGTATGGCTGAGTCCCTTGGCTGTTCACCTAAAACTGCCATACCATTGTTAATCGGCCATACCTCAATACAAAATAAAAAGTAAAGTTTGAAAAAAACAAAGTCTAATCTCTAAAAACAAAAAAGACATGAAAGAGATTTGCAAAAATGTACAATGTCACTTTGTGCCCTAAAAACTGGAGAGAACAACTTACTTTTAAAAAATATATATTGTTTATTAACATGTAGTTTTAAATGGTCTAACTTCTAAGACAGTTACAGTTTGAGAACCGCTGTTCTAAAGTGTAAACCAGGAAGCCATGGAAAGCTAGTCAGCTGGCATTTTTTTTCAGCTGTAGGCCAAGGAGGGGAACTGAGGCAACTGACATAAAGATTCCTGGGGTGGAGCCAGTCTCCTGGTTGGTTCTCCTAGCTGGCTGGCTCCCAGACAAAAAAAAACTGTGCAAGGGAACTACAGACCTGGATAGACAAAGGCTAGCAAATATTCATTTGAGGTGACCTTTTCTCAATAAGACCCAAAACGAAAATATTTTCAGCAGTTGATTTCCAAGTAAGATTCTCAACCTTGCTTTTAGATAAATGTAGGCCTTTTTTTTCTTGTTTCTGCTCTAGGCACTTTATTAAAAAGCCTCTTATCAGAGGGTGTAATTTGCAAGTCAAGTTCACCAACTTCTACTTACAAAAAAGCCCCAGACTCAGCCCACAGGAACTCTGGAGGAACCAAAATTAGTTCCCAGAAAGTGTACAGAGAAAGGCGCCCCGTTTGAAGTCCCCGCTCTCATCTCCCAGCTCAGATCTCCCCACCTCCACCTTTCCAAGGCCAGGATGCTGACCTGCAGAGGAGCGACCCCGAGTTCCCTCGGCCCCTACGTTAGCTCTGCCGGGCGGACTGAGGCTGTCCTCCCGCAATCGTGCACGAATCCTCCCTTCCCCGCCCCTCCCCAGCACACACCTCGCCAGGCCAGACCTCCCTACAGCAACGCTGGCGGCCACCTGCAGCCTGCCCCTTGCCCACCGTCAAACGCTGAAGCTTTGAAAAACCCAAGCTTTAAAAGTAGGCGGAGGGAAGTGGCGACAAGGGCAAGAGACGTCCTCAAAGAGAACACCCCGAAGGTAATTAATCCGATGTTCCCACTGCTGGGGCCTCTCCTGACCCCACTATTCTCCTTCCGGAGCGCACCGCAGAGCGCAGGCAAGAGAGGCGCGCCAAGCCCGAGCCTCCGGCGCCCTCCAAGAACGCGCGCTGCTCAGAATCCCACTCCCGGAAACCCGCAAAGCTGGAAAGCACCTCATCTCAGCCCTCGGTTGCACCGATAAGGAAGTGGCTCTCGGCGACAGAGGCGGCAGGAGCGGAACTCAGGAGCGACAGAGCTGCTGGTAAGGACGCGCGCCCCGCCCCGCCCGCCCCCGACGGGAAGGCCGGCCCACTGCCTGAGCTTCCCCGGGAGCCGGAGGGTCCCAGGACCTCCGCCCTGGGGGGCCCCAGGTGGCCGCAGCCCCAGCCCGGTTCCCCGCCAGCGTTCCCCCGATTCATCATCTGTGCGCGGGGGTCCTGTGGACTTACGTGCAGACCATGCGCAAAGCCCAGCAGCAGCGGCGCCAGCAGCAGGGCGAGGAGGCGAACGACCCCCGACATGTCCACTCTCGGGCCTCTCGGCTCCGCAGTCAGCCCGGGCAGCCGGTCGGCGTCACTTGACCGAGGACCGGGGCCTGGCCCCGCCCCGCGCCGGCTCCGCCCCGCGCCCCGCCCCGCCCCGCCGCCGCAGCCTGGGAGCCCGGAGCCCGGGCAGGCGAGAGCCTGGGGCCACACGCGGCCGCGTGACTCCAGGGCAGTGTTACCTGACCCCGGCCGGCCTCCGCCGGAGGGAGGAACCTTTTGCAATGATATTCTGGAGTACTCGCTATCAGCAGCTTGATAACGCACCTCGGGTTTGGACCTTAACAAGGGTCTCGTTGCTTCCCGGCTCCCTGGACACGACAGAAACGGGCCAGACAGACTTAAGTGGACTAGATGGATCCTCAGCCCTTCATAGGGGCAGTCTGGAAAACATCCAGGGGTCCGCCGAGTGTGGTCCCTGAACCAGTCTTCTATCTGGTACGTGTTAGAATTGGAAAGAACAAGGCCTCGCCCAAGAAACCCTAGGGATAGGGTCCAGAAATCTATTTTCACAACTCTCCAGGTCATTCTGACAGCACGCAAAGCTTGAGAACCATTATTCCAGGTTACTGATACATTAAAAGGTGTGGTTCAACTGTGGCAAAATCTTCAGGAGTGCCTATCCTCAAGGCACCCGTGTCTGCAGAATTTTTATTTCGAGCTGGATTTTGAGAGATAAGAGTACCAACAGCTCCCATCTTTCAGTTTTGCACTTAAGCCACTCAACATCCCTGTAATGCAAACAGATCTGTCAAGTAGAATAAAATATCTAGTATGATCTCTTTTTTACACTTGTGGAAAGGGAGACTCTACTGTGAGTTAACCAGTCCAGGACTGCTGGTTACCCCTAGATCTGAACCTGAAGTTGTCTTTTCCTACCTGGTTGCCAAAACTCTCTGCAAATCCCCCCTTTGCATTGCTGCACTTTAATCAAAACTGAGTCTCAGAGGAAGGCGCTTAGGGAAATTGCTTTCAAATATATATCTGTATATATAGTTTCCAGCTTTATTGAGTTAACGTTAACATTCTACTGTTGTGGAATCCGGAATCACGAAACACACCTCAAAGGACACAAGACAATGTGGAGTGCCATTTATTACGCCAGCAGGTCCAAGGGGAATCAGTTCCCAACAAGGACCTTGATGTTTCCCAGAGGCCCAGCTTTATAACCCTCCCCACCCCCACCCCCACCCCGTGAGTGGTTACATGTTAGCAACCTCTTTGTTGTGTATGAGTGAGTTTTACACCAAGTAGGTGCTAGGAGAACAAACAAGGTTAAAGGGGGGGAACAATGATTATACATCAATGGGGGATATCTCCATGGTTACTCTAACAGGGGCAGCCTGACGTCAACTACAGTCTCCTTTTGCCATCTGTAGGGAGGGAAGTCTCCAGGAGACTTGGTTTTCATTAGCAATGGTTTTCTCATTCTTGGGCAGGATTCAGGCCCAGTTTACATCCTATCTTTAAGACGGATGACAGGCTTCAAGATGGAGTCTCTCCTGCTTTCCTCACACTGGCCCCAACACTACAAAATGCACTCCTGTTAAATATATTCACTTGCTGATGGTTTAGTCGCTAAGTTGTGTCCGACTCTTTGTGACTGCAGGGACTATAATCCACCAGGCTTCTCTGTCCTTGGGATTTCCCAGGCAAGGAACCTGGACTGGGTTGCCATTTTCCGCTCCAGGGAATCTTCCCCAGCCAGGGATGGAGCCCAAATCTCCTACATTGCAGGCAGATTCTTTACCACTGAACCGCTGAGGTTAGCAGTAACAGTATAGGGTTAGGGGATTCCCTGGTGGTCCCAGGATTCGATCCCTGGTAGGGGAACTAAGATCCCACAAGCCAACACCAACCCCCCAAAAAAATTACAGTTTATTGATAGACTCCTTGACTAAACTTTAACTAGGCTTCTCTGACTAGAGAGACTCTTCTAGACTCTTCTAGACCTGGATCTTGGCCTTCTGTGCCTGACCTGTCCTTGCCTGCCCCGAATTGTCCAGTCTTAGCAAATTAGCAAAAAAAAAAATTCTTAGCAAAGAATCCTGCTAAATCAGTTTGGGAATAATTCCCAGTTCTTGTTATCTGATCAAGTTACTCATCCCCATCCCACCTCTCCTTGACATCTAACTCTTTGACCAACCCTTAGCAAGAATCCCTTGAGACCTCCTCTTACAATTTTCCAACCACAAGCCCCTAACTCTGCTGGTTATAAATCCCCAGCTCTCTTTGCTGTAGTTAGAATTGAGACCCATCCCTCTCCACCTGTGGTAGTAGAATTAAGCGTTATTACAAAAGGCTTGAAGAAAATCTTCCTTACCACTTTAGCAAGTATCCAGTTTTTTTTCTTTAGCACTATTTTTTTTTTTTTTACAAGTTGCAGACCTTTTTCAAACTTAGTCTGGTTTTTAACAATGAGAGTGATGGTTGTCAAAAGACAAGATTAGTGGTTATGAGACTTCTCTGGTGGTCCAGCGGCTAAGACTCTGAGCTTCCAATGCAGGGGGCCAGGGTTCGATCCCTGGTCAGGGAACTAGCTCCCACAGCAGCACATGCTGCAACTAAGAGCTTGCATGCCACAACTAAGACCCATCACAGCCAAGTAAATAAAGTAATAATAATAAAGAATAGTAATTACTAATGGGAAGGGCCCCCCAAATTTTGTTTCTTGAACTAGAGGGTGGTTACAGGAGTACCCGCCACTTAGTCATTCATGTTTTGTGTCACTTCCTGTATCTTTTTTTTTTTTTTAACCTCGCCTCACAGCATGTGGGATCTTAGTTCCCCAATGAGGGACTGAAACCATGGCCCCCTGCGGTTGGAAACACAGAGTCCTAACCACTGGCATGCCAGGCAATTCCCTGTAATTGTTTTGAAAATTAGTTTAAAAGTTATTTGGGGCGCTTCCCTGGTGGCTCAGTGGTAACGAATCCACCTGATAATGGAGGAGACACGGGCTCAATCCCTTTTCTGGGAAGATCCCACATGCTGCAAAGCAATTAAGCCTGTGCACTGCATTTGAGCCTGTGTGGTAGGACCTGCGTGCTGCAAGCACTGAAACTCCTGTGCCTAACGCCTGTGCTCCACAAGAGAAGCCGCTGCAATGGGAAGCCCATGTACCGCAACTACAGGGTAGCCCCCACTGTCTGCAGCTAGAGAAAGCCCACCCAGCAACAAAGACGCAGCACAACCAAAAATAAAAATAAAGAAACCTTAAAAAAAAAAAAAAGATGCGGGGGACTTCCCTGGCTGGTACAATGGTAGAACTCCATACTTTCACTGCAGGGGGAGAGGGTTCAATCCTTTGTCTGCTAAGAACTAAGACCCCACAAGCCTTGAGGCATGGCCAAAAAAAAAAAGATATGAGATCCAAATGTTAGCATCCATGAGTAAAGTTGTATTAGACTACAAACCCTTCTGACCCACTGCGTCCTGCATGGGACTGCTTTGGGATCACAATGGCAGTCAAGCCCCTGAAACAGAGCCTTTGTTGTTCTTGTTCAGTCCCTAAGTTGTGTCCGGCTCTTTGCAACCCAGTAGACTGCAGCACACTAGACTCCTCTGTCCTCCACTATCTACCGGAATCTGCTCAAATTCATGTCCATTGAGTCAGTGATGCTATCCAGCCCTCTCACCCTCTGCCTCCCTCGTCTCCTTTTGCCTTCAGTCTTTCCTAGGATCAGAGTCTTTTCCAATGAATCCACTTTTGCATCAGGTGCCCAAAGTAATGGAGTTTCAGCTTCAGCATCTATCCTTACAATGAATATTCAGGGTTAATTTTCTTAAGGATTGACTGGCTTGATCTCCCTAACGTCCAAGGGACTCTCAAGAGTCTTCTTTGGCACTCAGCTTTCTTGATGGTCCAACTCTCATATCCATACATGACTACTAGAAAAAACATAGCTTTGTACCAACCTTTGTTGGCAAAGTGATGTCTCTGCATTTTAATTCACTGGCTAGGTTTGTCATAGCTTTCCTTTATGGGCCACAAAACCTAAAATGGATCGTATCTGGCCCTTTACAGTAGAAGCTTGCCCAGGGAGTATAGATAGCAGTTTGTTTCTGAGATTTTGGCACCAGACTCTGTGTTATAGTTGAACTAGAAGTGATAACGTAGCTGTGGTTGTGCTAAAGGCTTTACCAGCAGTGAGTCACTCTGCATCAAAACCTAGTTGTGTGTTATTATCCACATTTCAGGGATGAGAAAACCGAGTCAGAGAGGAGGTACGTGCCAGGAGCCACAGAGCCAGGAAGTGATGGGATCTCTAGTCTCATTGCCTGACTGTAAACACCAAGTTATTTTTGTCTTTGTTTTTTAATTGAGGTATAGTTGATTTACAATGTTATGTTATTAATAGTTTCTGGAGTATAGCAAAGTGGTTCCAGTTTATTTATATACATATATATATAAATGTTCTTTTTCATATTTTTTTCATTATGGTTTATTGGAGCCTGGGTTATCTTCACAAGGCCATGATGCTTCTGTGCCTGCTTTATTTATAGTTCCTGTCTAGGTGTGCACACACAGTATGTGCTGCTATTTTATGCAGTGTTCAATTGTGTGCAGCTGACTTGGCGACCCCATGGACTGCACCCCACCAGGCTCCTCTGTCCATGGAATTTTCCAGTCCAGATTGCTGGAGTGGGTTGCCATTTCCTTCTCCAGGGCATCTTCCCAACCCAGGGTGAAACCCACATTTCTTGTGTCTCCTGCATCAGCAGGCAGATTCTTGACCACTGTGCCATCTGGGAAGCCTCATGTGTATGTATCATATATATAATTATACATTAAAATAAATATACATTTATTACATGTATATAAATTATACATAATATACATATTATTACATGTATAGGATGAGAGCAAATTATGGAGCAAATAAGGCAGAATGTTAGCAATCGATGAATTGGGCAAAGGGCTTATAGAAATTCTTATATAAAAATAAAAAGGTTATTTAAAAAATATAAAATAAAGC